GTCGTATTACCAAACCAACACACTGAAATTGGCTTACCGAATTTGTCACTTTCTTCGTTTGCTGTATCCCAATCGGCATCTGAAACAATCATTGGTAAAATGTACTAGATCAGTAACAATCGGAAGGCTTCTGCATTTCTTGATAGGCGTGTTAGGTAGAATTTCACTTCAGTTGATCGAGTGGTCTTAGACGTCATTTTATTCGACATGCAGTTTTACACGGAACACATTTCAACTGTGAAATTTCGTTAGTCATAACATGTTTTACAACATCCATCAACTTTCTATAGCTACATGTAGTCTACATGCGTCAGTTCAGTGATACTAACAACCAGTGAACTCACCATTTTATTCGAACTACCATTCAGTGTAATACACTGGTCATTTAGAGCCATCTTTCATGAAGTCGACTAATCCGTTCGACAATTAACGAGAAGCACAATGTTCAGATACACAAGCCATTGCACATCTGATTTGATGCGATTGGCTAGTTTCACTACGTGAGCGTTGTCGGACTCAAAATAAACCATCTAAGATATAAGGTCCTGTGCCTCCAAATTTCAGCTGCTCAAATGAACAACAACGTGATAGATATTAGCATCCAATCACTCGAGGCAATCACTTACATTACACACATGTGATTAAATGGCCACAGACATAATGACCAACCAAAGTTTATTTTCAAAATGGTTAGTTAAAAATTTATTGTGTCAACAAACCAGTATTTACAATAGTCAGAGTGAAGTCGTATTACCAAACCAACACACTGAAATTGGCTTACCGAATTTGTCACTTTCTTCGTTTGCTGTATCCCAATCGGCATCTGAAACAATCATTGGTAAAATGTACTAGATCAGTAACAATCGGAAGGCTTCTGCATTTCTTGATAGGCGTGTTAGGTAGAATTTCACTTCAGTTGATCGAGTGGTCTTAGACGTCATTTTATTCGACATGCAGTTTTACACGGAACACATTTCAACTGTGAAATTTCGTTAGTCATAACATGTTTTACAACATCCATCAACTTTCTATAGCTACATGTAGTCTACATGCGTCAGTTCAGTGATACTAACAACCAGTGAACTCACCATTTTATTCGAACTACCATTCAGTGTAATACACTGGTCATTTAGAGCCATCTTTCATGAAGTCGACTAATCCGTTCGACAATTAACGAGAAGCACAATGTTCAGATACACAAGCCATTGCACATCTGATTTGATGCGATTGGCTAGTTTCACTACGTGAGCGTTGTCGGACTCAAAATAAACCATCTAAGATATAAGGTCCTGTGCCTCCAAATTTCAGCTGCTCAAATGAACAACAACGTGATAGATATTAGCATCCAATCACTCGAGGCAATCACTTACATTACACACATGTGATTAAATGGCCACAGACATAATGACCAACCAAAGTTTATTTTCAAAATGGTTAGTTAAAAATTTATTGTGTCAACAAACCAGTATTTACAATAGTCAGAGTGAAGTCGTATTACCAAACCAACACACTGAAATTGGCTTACCGAATTTGTCACTTTCTTCGTTTGCTGTATCCCAATCGGCATCTGAAACAATCATTGGTAAAATGTACTAGATCAGTAACAATCGGAAGGCTTCTGCATTTCTTGATAGGCGTGTTAGGTAGAATTTCACTTCAGTTGATCGAGTGGTCTTAGACGTCATTTTATTCGACATGCAGTTTTACACGGAACACATTTCAACTGTGAAATTTCGTTAGTCATAACATGTTTTACAACATCCATCAACTTTCTATAGCTACATGTAGTCTACATGCGTCAGTTCAGTGATACTAACAACCAGTGAACTCACCATTTTATTCGAACTACCATTCAGTGTAATACACTGGTCATTTAGAGCCATCTTTCATGAAGTCGACTAATCCGTTCGACAATTAACGAGAAGCACAATGTTCAGATACACAAGCCATTGCACATCTGATTTGATGCGATTGGCTAGTTTCACTACGTGAGCGTTGTCGGACTCAAAATAAACCATCTAAGATATAAGGTCCTGTGCCTCCAAATTTCAGCTGCTCAAATGAACAACAACGTGATAGATATTAGCATCCAATCACTCGAGGCAATCACTTACATTACACACATGTGATTAAATGGCCACAGACATAATGACCAACCAAAGTTTATTTTCAAAATGGTTAGTTAAAAATTTATTGTGTCAACAAACCAGTATTTACAATAGTCAGAGTGAAGTCGTATTACCAAACCAACACACTGAAATTGGCTTACCGAATTTGTCACTTTCTTCGTTTGCTGTATCCCAATCGGCATCTGAAACAATCATTGGTAAAATGTACTAGATCAGTAACAATCGGAAGGCTTCTGCATTTCTTGATAGGCGTGTTAGGTAGAATTTCACTTCAGTTGATCGAGTGGTGAAGAGAAAGAAAATAAAATCCTACTTCAGTTGGACAGATATATTTACATCATGAAAAAACGTTTAAATGCTCCGTATAAATGTGGACGTTTTATACTACATATCTACATTTGACGTTCAAATGTATAACTCAAGGAAAAAGCGTTTGTAAGATCTACATTCTCACCAACAACGTAAATGTTCACTAGTATTTTAAAGCTATACACTATTAAAGAAATGCTCATTTTTCTTTAAGCCTGGAATGGCGATAGTGAAAATTCACTAACGTTAGCATTACCATGTCAAAACATCTCATAAACTTGAACTTACGTCCGTCGAAATCGCCTTTACGATAGGCACAAATGTCTAAAATATAAATGAAACGACATTTCCTCAGATGATCACACTGAAATTTCATGGGATTAGTTCCCTCAATAACACGTTTTTACGTTGGAGTAACTAACTTATTGAGATAAAATGAATTCATTTGATCTCGTATGCTCTAGATTAAATGTTTTCACAATGATATGTAGAAATAATGTGAATACATATGTTGTAGGTACTTTTTTGTAGTGTGTAAGCGTCTTTTTGCACACCAGGGAAAATAAAAGTTAATAATAATGATGGTCATAATGATGAAACAGCTGAAAATAGCATTATGACTGTGCGAAGTATTACAAATTGTTTCTCTCCGCCACAGGATTAAACGAAGTTTAGATGTCGCTCTGTAGGAAAGCGTGAATTCGCACTACTGCACACGAAGCAAAACAAGTTGACTTCGTCCTAAAATTTTTCTAACGTCGTATGTTAAAAATTAAGGATTAACCTGTCATTAAACGAATGGAAGTAGATTCATTCAAAGACACTTCATTTTCCACGATGATAATTGGGTCACATATACAGTGATATTTGTAGTGAAGTTTCACACAGGCAAGTGTTTAATATAACAGATGGACATTATACCATTTTGTAAAATTTTCAAGAGTATGTTTAACGCATTTGAGTATCGAAAGTAAGTTGTTTATTGATTTCAAATGTAATAAGAAGTCATCATTCAGGCAAAAAGTGCAGGAGAAGACTCATGTGATATAGAATTAAGTGAACTGTGAGCTAGTAAATTTTAATAATTTTCGAAAAATTTGAGCCGGCCAAGCCGAAACGTGACATCAGTCCTTGATGCCAATAACTTCCAATCATCTCTTAAACCATGAGATAACAATCGGCTTATACCCTTCTTTTCAAGAGTTAACTGTTCCTTCCTGGATTATAAATGCACACATTCTTATATATCCGTATGCAAAATCGTTCTTTTATCTATTACCATCATTGAAGTGAATACATCTATGAATTTGGTGTTCATCTTCTTGTGCTGACGAGGTGTGGCAACTTGGACCGATGCATTTATGTGCCTGGTCGTATATTGTAGCTGACTAACTGGCGATAAATCTAGAGAATTACTAAGATCTTGACAAGCATGAGATGACACATATTTTTTCAATCAATGAATCACTATCTGCAGGAGCCTTTCGATCAACATAAATTGCTTTCAATATATGTATCATACCAACTATTATTTCATAACTGATATTTCATGAATGTTCGTTAACATTTCTGGAGTATGTTATACGCTTCATTTGAGTTGTGAACTACTGTCCGTAAAAATTTTAAACACAAATATAGTTTACCCCTTCTCTTTGCTGGGCTACCTTTATCAGAGTTTAGTTCATTCAATTTTTTAACAGCTCAATTAATAGACAGACCATTGTACATACAGTTTGTGTGCGCATCTTATTCATTCCTGTATTCTCCAATGTTAAACGTTAGCAATAATATTATGATATTTTGATACACCATTTCTTAAGACAGCTGCATGTGACATTAACAATCGAACCAACCGTTCAAAACAGAAAGGACCGATTTTCCAACCAAAACAATTCGGAAGATATTTGGAAGCGTTGAGTTCTATTAAAACCAGGTCTTCCGTATTTTGTATTCCTGCGTCCAAACGTCATATAATTTCATGTTGATATTCCTAAATTATAAACAGTATCCATATGCCTCCATTGTGTTTGAATAGTGTCGTATCACTTATTAGCTGACCAAACATACCAACACATAACATTTTTGGATGGTTGAAAGTAGATGTTAGAGAATTTTAATTCACCTACGTTTCCCATTGCTTAGCACCGGTTAGACAGAAGTCAAAGTAGTCTATGGAGAACTACTGATCAATGGTGAACTCGAATCAGCATCACAGTCAATCAATAGTTAACCATTTACTTGTAAATGACAACAACCATCAAATTACACACATTAACAAGCAACACTTACCGGCAATGCTGACAGTAACCACAACGGCTAAAAACAAACGTAAAATATTCGTATTCATTTTACTCAGTCTGAATCGTTCTGTAACATTAAAATTCTGTGTGTATATATACATTTTACACTCACTTAATCAGAAAACGATTCGTTGAATACTTTTGAATGTGTGTATATGGTGTGTGCGTATGTGTCTCCGTTCCAATAAGAATGCATCCAGGTGTAAATGCAGATAATTTTTAATTGATTACAGAAAATATTTCTTCTATCGCATCGAAACCTATGGTTCGTTTACAATGGCATGCCAAATATAATTTTTACAACCGACGTCTTTTGGATGAAACTTGTACTAAGAAAGGTCTTGTCGTCACATTACATATGATTTCAGTTACTACTAGTAATAATGAAATAAAAGTAGATCATCCAGTTTCTTTGCCTTGATTAGCACTACTAGAGTATCAGTTTTGGATAAATCTTTGTTATTCATTCATGTCCAATACATTTAGGCGATGAACATGTTGAATAATTTGAATGAGTTAATTATTATCACAGGCTGATATCAACCGACTGACGAATGAAGAAATTAAAACAGTTGAAAACTTTTATTTTCAAATAGAGTGAAGCTTATATGTGACAGGTTTAAGCAGACGAAAAACAAAGCAATCAAAATTCTCGTTTAGCCATCTTGCCGATAGACAACGCTCAATATTCATCACTTCATCGCTGGTGAGTGTCGGTTTACACTAATATTTCAGTTTAGCTTATTTAAATGTAAAATAATCATTGTAAACGAATGTGTTTCTGTAAGATATTAATGTTGGTCTTAGTTTTATGCTGATAAAGTAATACCTTTTAGAGGACGACATGAAAAGCTTTCCACAAATAAAATCCTTATACCCATGAATGAATATAACATTGGTTAAGATATCTTTCATGTTACAATAAATATAGTCTATTCATCCACACTTTGTAACAATCATTAAAATAACAAACGTCAATCGCATTAATAGCTGAATTTCATAGTCTAAAACAAAGACTGACCACAGCTAGACAACGATCGAAACGACTAAATTACCTGACTAATTTCTATCCTATTGGGAATATACTCAAATTTGCGGACATATGAGCCGACAACAAACGGCGATTTTGAAATCTAAGATGAGAGGATAATAATTCAGGTATACATTATTGAGCCAATTATTCAAGTTTTGGACTGTTTCTTTGATCACATTTTAATGAAAGAATAATACATGATACATAATATAAAATTAATTCATCAGTAAAATTCTCTAAATAAGCATCCTAAACAAACTTCGGAACCGGGAGACAAGTTAAGACAACGACATATTATTAAAATATTCATCTATTATTTATAATTTAAAGAAATTAAATTATTTATTCTACATAAAAATTATGTATTAAATAAACTTCAGTCATTCTCAAAATAAACTTAGTATTATTCAGTATAAGAATTATCAACCGAAAGAGAAAACTGTGTAAGATTTGTTGTAAGAATCCATGGAAGACTTCCATTCTTCTTTCATCTATGTATCTGTATACGAGGGTAGTCATAAAATCACGTTTTCTACCGTAAATAAGTTTAAACCAGGATTAATTAAACAGTTCAAGAATATGGTATGCTATTAAAACACTGTAAGTCAAAGTGAAAAACAAAACAATATGTAGTGTACTTTATGTGATGTGAGTTCACAATAATTAGAAATACTGTTTCACATTCCTGTGTAAATAAACAAGAAATATGAGGCGACTGATGATCACTTTTAAAATTAACCTGAATATTAGAATGAATTGAAGAAAGTGAATATGAGCTAACTGTGGCATACACTTTCACGTAGTCAGTAGATGAATAATAAATAGATATAGAGTGACTTGATAGATTTGTTATTTCTTCCCATGCACCAACCCTCCGTTGCGTTTGCGCATTCAACATTATCTTGCTTCGTGATGCAGTTTGACGATTTCCGTAATTTGAGATCTATCCATTTCAAACGTCTTTTCCTCATTTCTACCTCAGCTGAAAACTGGTTTGTTCTCTGCAATAGTAGGCTGTTGCTGATGGCATCCGACCAACGGACACTTAGTAACTTACGTAGACACTTGTCTATAAATACTTCCACCTCTTTCATGACAGTTGTGGTATATCATATGACCGAGCACGTACATCTCTGTTTTATGCATTACTACATGTCACACACGATTGAATCGAAAATCAGTTCCACTACAATCAATCATGGCACCGCTATTTATCAAATAAGTAATAAAGAGTTGTGACAGGTGAATAAGACAAAATCCTTATGATGCACTTATTTCCACTCACAGAATCAAACACAATGAAAGTATTGTCAATCGAAGATTGGAATATTCACACGTTTACTCCTCCTGCTTGTGAAAGTAGAGTGAATTTTGATCAAACATCGGGTTTTTAATAGCAGCAGTATCCCACCAAAGAAATCACTCGATTGGTTACAATGTATTGGGAAATGCTTATTTTCACTATTTCTTTTCCATGATTAATGTCACAGTGATATATTTTATGTTCTTCATGAACGATTAGAGCGATGATTTGATTTAAGAGGTTTGTACCTGCCTTAAATGTTTAATGAGAGATAAATGAGTCGAGTATTTTGTATTGTACTACCACTCCAAATGTGTATAATCCAGTTGTTTAGCATGAACTGTACATTACATAGCAAGTAACCTGATCCATTGTTTGATCGACAAGTATCTACATCTAATGGGTGTCTGTACTTTCATCTCGCAATGTGAAATATTGTTTCAGCAGTAATCGGATTATTCACTGAAATCGATCACTGTGTAAGATTTGTTGTAAGAATCCATGGAAGACTTCCATTCTTCTTTCATCTATGTATCTGTATACGAGGGTAGTCATAAAATCACGTTTTCTACCGTAAATAAGTTTAAACCAGGATTAATTAAACAGTTCAAGAATATGGTATGCTATTAAAACACTGTAAGTCAAAGTGAAAAACAAAACAATATGTAGTGTACTTTATGTGATGTGAGTTCACAATAATTAGAAATACTGTTTCACATTCCTGTGTAAATAAACAAGAAATATGAGGCGACTGATGATCACTTTTAAAATTAACCTGAATATTAGAATGAATTGAAGAAAGTGAATATGAGCTAACTGTGGCATACACTTTCACGTAGTCAGTAGATGAATAATAAATAGATATAGAGTGACTTGATAGATTTGTTATTTCTTCCCATGCACCAACCCTCCGTTGCGTTTGCGCATTCAACATTATCTTGCTTCGTGATGCAGTTTGACGATTTCCGTAATTTGAGATCTATCCATTTCAAACGTCTTTTCCTCATTTCTACCTCAGCTGAAAACTGGTTTGTTCTCTGCAATAGTAGGCTGTTGCTGATGGCATCCGACCAACGGACACTTAGTAACTTACGTAGACACTTGTCTATAAATACTTCCACCTCTTTCATGACAGTTGTGGTATATCATATGACCGAGCACGTACATCTCTGTTTTATGCATTACTACATGTCACACACGATTGAATCGAAAATCAGTTCCACTACAATCAATCATGGCACCGCTATTTATCAAATAAGTAATAAAGAGTTGTGACAGGTGAATAAGACAAAATCCTTATGATGCACTTATTTCCACTCACAGAATCAAACACAATGAAAGTATTGTCAATCGAAGATTGGAATATTCACACGTTTACTCCTCCTGCTTGTGAAAGTAGAGTGAATTTTGATCAAACATCGGGTTTTTAATAGCAGCAGTATCCCACCAAAGAAATCACTCGATTGGTTACAATGTATTGGGAAATGCTTATTTTCACTATTTCTTTTCCATGATTAATGTCACAGTGATATATTTTATGTTCTTCATGAACGATTAGAGCGATGATTTGATTTAAGAGGTTTGTACCTGCCTTAAATGTTTAATGAGAGATAAATGAGTCGAGTATTTTGTATTGTACTACCACTCCAAATGTGTATAATCCAGTTGTTTAGCATGAACTGTACATTACATAGCAAGTAACCTGATCCATTGTTTGATCGACAAGTATCTACATCTAATGGGTGTCTCTACTTCCATCTCGCAATGTGAAATATTGTTTCAGCAGTAATCGGATTATTCACTGAAATCGATCACTGTGTAAGATTTGTTGTAAGAATCCATGGAAGACTTCCATTCTTCTTTCATCTATGTATCTGTATACGAGGGTAGTCATAAAATCACGTTTTCTACCGTAAATAAGTTTAAACCAGGATTAATTAAACAGTTCAAGAATATGGTATGCTATTAAAACACTGTAAGTCAAAGTGAAAAACAAAACAATATGTAGTGTACTTTATGTGATGTGAGTTCACAATAATTAGAAATACTGTTTCACATTCCTGTGTAAATAAACAAGAAATATGAGGCGACTGATGATCACTTTTAAAATTAACCTGAATATTAGAATGAATTGAAGAAAGTGAATATGAGCTAACTGTGGCATACACTTTCACGTAGTCAGTAGATGAATAATAAATAGATATAGAGTGACTTGATAGATTTGTTATTTCTTCCCATGCACCAACCCTCCGTTGCGTTTGCGCATTCAACATTATCTTGCTTCGTGATGCAGTTTGACGATTTCCGTAATTTGAGATCTATCCATTTCAAACGTCTTTTCCTCATTTCTACCTCAGCTGAAAACTGGTTTGTTCTCTGCAATAGTAGGCTGTTGCTGATGGCATCCGACCAACGGACACTTAGTAACTTACGTAGACACTTGTCTATAAATACTTCCACCTCTTTCATGACAGTTGTGGTATATCATATGACCGAGCACGTACATCTCTGTTTTATGCATTACTACATGTCACACACGATTGAATCGAAAATCAGTTCCACTACAATCAATCATGGCACCGCTATTTATCAAATAAGTAATAAAGAGTTGTGACAGGTGAATAAGACAAAATCCTTATGATGCACTTATTTCCACTCACAGAATCAAACACAATGAAAGTATTGTCAATCGAAGATTGGAATATTCACACGTTTACTCCTCCTGCTTGTGAAAGTAGAGTGAATTTTGATCAAACATCGGGTTTTTAATAGCAGCAGTATCCCACCAAAGAAATCACTCGATTGGTTACAATGTATTGGGAAATGCTTATTTTCACTATTTCTTTTCCATGATTAATGTCACAGTGATATATTTTATGTTCTTCATGAACGATTAGAGCGATGATTTGATTTAAGAGGTTTGTACCTGCCTTAAATGTTTAATGAGAGATAAATGAGTCGAGTATTTTGTATTGTACTACCACTCCAAATGTGTATAATCCAGTTGTTTAGCATGAACTGTACATTACATAGCAAGTAACCTGATCCATTGTTTGAT